TAATGTTTTCTAAAATTCTCAAGACAGAGGCTACTCATCATTTGTACTCATTTATTGTCCAATCACAGCATTTCTCGTTATGTTGATTTGCTTGTCCACAACCTCAGCTGATGGGGGTTTATGGGGTCGTTCATAGTAGAAACAAATCAATCCTCATTTTGTCTGATGCTGGTTTTAACATTTTAGGACAGCTTTCACATCCCCCCCTGACTGATCCCAAAACGTTCTCTCTATTCTATAAGAATCTTGTTGTGTCTTTGAATCTGAGATGGAGAGAATGCTATACCTCTCTTGGAACTCAAAAGACTCTAGAGTAACGCTGTTTTCAAAAGTGGAATGTGATGGGCAAAAAGATGAGAAGACTTGCTGACCGAGCTGGAAACTGAATTTCCCTAATGCTCTGGTCTGTGGTCTCATTGTACTAGCAACATACTCACAAAGTCTACAGATTTGCAGAACTGACTCCAATTTACAGGTATGGTCCCATAATTCCACAGCTCATTGTGGCTGTCACCTCCTTTGGTTAGGTACACCTTCAGTTAAACTGTGCATACCTAAGAGAGCAGGCGGTTTGGAAAACTCCTTATAATCAGCATGCTTTCAAATGGGTTGGTTATTCTCAATGCTGTTGCATATCGGGCATCTAGAACATTTGTTAAAATCGTAGGGATGCTGGGTCTTCTCAAGACTAAGTAAATCAAGACAGATTTGAAGCATAAGTCATTCCCTTAGGCAACTTGCATATATAACAACTGCTGAGAAACACCACATTAGATAATACTACATTGCCTTCCAAAAAGGTGAGAATCAATACTGCTGATGAACTCCTGAAAGGGAGGTAAATGTCTTGAAACATTTGATTGTAGTGCATGATCTCAACTTGTCACAGAAGTGGAAAGACAGTTGTACCTCATTTCCCTCTAGCTTTAGCTTCAGAGATCTCAAAATGCCATGGTCTCCTCTCATACTTTGAACTGCGCACTGCATGTGTGTCGGGGTCCCTTGGCCAGCAAGTCAAACCCAGACACTCGTTGTCTTTGTGGAACCTTTATTGTAGAGATGACACAGCAAAACCAGTGCGCAGCCGCCGCATGGCGAGGTGCGCAGCAGCTACAACATGGCGAGGTGTGCTCTCTCCCTCTCCCCCTCTCTCCCTCTCTCTGACTCCCTTATATTGGGTAACTCGGCCAATCAGCTTAAAGGTCATCTCTGCACGCAGCGGGCAGGCCAATCCTCACACAGATCACGCGCTGTCCACGTGCCATCCACGCACCCCTGGGCCAATCACAGCAGACTTCCTGAGATTTGTTTTTTTTTTACCACAGCAGGAAGCAGCAGTTCGGCGCCTGTCAGTCTAGGGGGTGGGCTGCAGGCTCCCTACAGCTCCCCACACATGTGTATATGTGGGTTGTCTCTCACAACACAGAGCATGCTCCCAAAGGGCAGCCCCTTACAGTAACCCTGGCACAGGGTCTGTGGTAAGAAACTGGCAAGCATGATGATAGATTAGGCACGTGGATGTCCAGAACATAGAGCAATCATTCATTTGGAAGCAAGTCATGTATTTAGTGATATCAAAATGAACATTTATTATCAGTTACATTTATTGACATTGTCCACACAAATCAGTTCGTTCATAAATAAGTGCATCCTTGATGAACCAGGTTATATGAAAAACACAGATATGCAGAGGCTAAAGAAATGTTGTATAAGCTAAATTTGCAGTTAAAAACAGCTTAGTAGTGCTGACGGACATGATTTCTGACTTCCCTCCTCTAATAGATTCTGCTTCTGAGTTCCACACACTTGGTTAGCATCTCTTTTCTGATGCTCCTATACTAGCTGCAGCTAAAAGCTTGCACAGCAACCCTCCCACCAAGTCATGAATCCTTCCCACCAAGTCATGAATCCTTCCCACCAAGTCATGAATCCTGTGTCTTAACCACGCTCTTCTCCACAGTTGCTACCATGGTACCTGGCACATCATCCATGCCTCTTAACCATTAAGGGATTGTATAATCCTGACACTACAGAATGTATGGGGCTAAGAGATCTATGCTGTGCATTTTCCAAACGGATGCTCAGATTGGCTTTCTGGTTGCTAATGGTTCTAGTACCTCAGAAATTGGTACCTGAATAGTGATTCTTTTCAGAAAAATTTCTTTGTTAGCTATATTCACTTTCTATGTTTCAGGTTCTGATTTTCAATCAAAAAATGATCTAGGGCCCGGCATGGCAGCCTTGTGGCTAGAGTCCTTGCCTTACTTGCATTGGGATCCAATAGGGGTGCCAGTTCTAATCCCAGTGGCCCTGCTTCACATTCAGCTCCCTTTGTGGCCTGGGAAAGCAGTGGAGGACAGTCCGATGCCTTGGGACCCTGCACCCACATAGGAGACCTGGAAGCCCCTGGCTCCAGGAGCTTCGGATTGGCTCAGTTCCAGCCATTGCGTCCACTTGGGGAGTGAATTAGTGAAGATGGATCTTTCTTTCTCTCTCTCTCCTCCTCTCTGTATATCTGACTTTTCAATAAATATATATATTTTTAAATTATCTAGTAGGAAATAATGTATAAGAATTTCTTTGGTACTTGGCCAGAATTTAAATACAGGTCTAATATATCAACAGACATGTAGTTTAGGGATGGAGCTTTTTTGGGGGGAGAGGGCAATCCTATTTAAACCTGCATTTATGAGTTACATATATAAATACGCACAGTGTTATGTTTACATATATGATACTTTTAAACAAGAGAACTCTTCCTTGCTGTCCTCATTGAAATATGAGCTACACATAATAATCATTCAGGCATAAGTATGACAAATTCATGGCTTTCCCTTAATCTAGTGATTCAGGGAACTTTGAAATCCTTTGTTTCCCATCTTTAAGATGATGGGATTTAACTTGGTACTTTAGGGTGAAATTGACTGCACTGTGGTGCAACAGACAGATCATCCATAGAGTGTAGTCACTTTCACATACAGTATGCACTTCCCCGAACTTCTCTCCAAAGAAACACAACGCTGGAAAGATATTCCTGTAAACATGGCTACATTTTAAAAGGGGAAAGACTTGGGCAACAAACTTCAGTTGTGTTTCACTTGACGCCAGCCAACCCTTCCAATTTCTGGGACTCGCTTTCTCCTCTGTACTCCGTAGTCTTCTGCAGGCTTTGGTATGGGAGAGCGGCAATCCCCAACAAACCGGCAGACTAGCAAAAGTCAGCCAACTGTACAATTCTTTTCGATATTGCATTTTTTGTCTCCATCTCTCTGCATCTCTTTCTCTCTCATCAGCTCTTGTGTCCTGTTTGTTTTTTTTTTTAATTAAGCATTTTTTTTTCATTAATAGGAACGCACCAACATAAAGTTTAAGGGAACACGTTTTGAAACCTTGTGTCAATGGAGATCCTGCAATGACCAGTAAGGATGGAAAAGTTTGCGATCAATCAAAATATTCTAACAGAGGCAGGGAGTAAACTCTGGCTAGATGGAGTCAACTAGCAGTTTCATATCAATTGCTACCCAGCAGTGTGGACCAGCGTGTGTACACGTGTGCGGGAGGGTGGGGCGGCTTGCGTGGGGTGTCCAAGCACTTCTCCTTTGCTCCACTTCACCACAGCATTCCTATGAAAAGAGACAAGAAGTTGCCCTACAGAACCCAACCCTTCAGCCAAGCCCAGGAGGCAGTGACCGCTGTATTGGGGGGAGGGGGCATGCACCCCCTACTCACGTCCTAATGGTTTCTTAGTTGCTTGCTGACTCTCACGGAGAGGGCATGGTCAAGTTTCCCCTCTACCCGGAGGTCTGGAAGCAGAACCCTTGATGAACCCTCCTGAGCCTTGCCCTCTGCTGATATTGTCCTCACGAATCTCCTTGCCGCCTCTAACCCGAAAAGTACCCCTTTCGCACCTGCTAGGCATTGCCAGTACTACCACATTCTGTCAACCCCGCAGACACCCCCGTTGTCCATCTCCACCACCCGGGCATCAGTGCCCTTCCCCACGAGCGTCCAACTCTCGTGGACAACGAGAAAAAAAAAGCCACGAGAACCCGAAAGGCCCACAAGCAGCTCAATCAAATCAATCGAGATAAAATAAATAAATAAATAAAATGACCGCCGGAAAGGAAATGCAGTTACCAGCTTAAACAAGAAAGAACCCACGCTGCACCTAGCATGCAGAGCCTACGGGCGCGCGGTTCCCCCGACACTGCCCTGTTGTGTCAGACAGTGGCAGTGTTGAGCCCGGGAGTCCGCGCCCAGCCCGCCCGCGCTCCCCGCGGCCGCTCAGTCTACGCGGCTGACTCTGACGCGTAGGAGCCGCTGGGCCGCGAGGGCGCTGGGCTGCGCTAGGGGCGTGGGGGCGGCGAGGGGTCCCCGATCGGCCACCACCAACTGTTTTCCTCCTTCCCCACCACCCCGGGCTCCAGCCCCGCTCCCTCCAATGGGCCGAGACTCCCCGGGGGTGGGGAGGTGAAGGGAGAGGTCACAGGTCCGCTCGCCACCCGCTGTGCCACCCCCTCCGGGCTCCGGCCCGAGCAAAACGACCCCGGACCCGCGGGGGGCGAGCCGAGCGCGCGTGGGCACCGGCGCCCCCTCCGAGGCAGCTCTCCGAGTGGCGGTCCCCCCGCTCTGCTCGGCCGCGCGGTCGCTCCGATCCTCCCCCCCTTCCCCGCCCGCGCCCTCCCCCTTCCTTTCACCAGGACTCCGGGACTCGGGAGAGGGCGCGGGAGGCAGGCACACGGGCCCGACCCCACTCCAGCGCTCGCCGGGGACGCGGGCGGGCGGGCGGCGAGGGGACGCGGCGGGGGCGCGGGGCGGGCGCGGCCATGGAGCGGTGGCGGCGGTGGTGGCAGCGGCTGCACTAGGGAACGCGGGGCGGACGGGCGCGGAGAGAGCGGGCAGGGCCGCCCCGGCGCCGCCGATCGAACTGCACAGCTCAGCAAAAGCGCCCTCGCCCTCCGCGCGCCGCCTCCTGCGAGCCCCAACCCGGCAACATTTTTAAAGCTCCAACCAACCCATCCTTTGAAGACAGGAGGGTGTGTGTGTGTGTGTGTGTGTGTGTGTGTGTGGAAAAATAGCGTTGATCGGAGAGACGGGGATATATTTATATATTTATATATATACAATTTTTTTGGCTCCTGCTAAAATTAGCCGGGCCCGCCGCGCGCCCGTGTGCGAGTGTGTGCGTGCGGCCGTGTGTGTGTGTGTGTGTGTGTGTGTGAATGTGATTACTCCAGGACTCCTCGGGCTCCGGAGACGCCATTTTCCCCCTTGATATCTCTCTCCATAAATCGGTGGCGCGGCGGAGGCGGCCGCGCCGGGCGGGAAGCGCGGGGCTGGCCGGGGCGCCCGCTGCTCGCCGCCGCCTCCGCGCGCCCGGGGGCCCCGGCGCCCCCCGAGCGAGGGCGGCCCGCCCCGCGCCTCGCCGTTTGACAGATGCTCATCGCCATGGAGTTGCCGCAGCAGCACCTTTGGGGGCTTGGGCGAGCGACCGGAGCCGGGATCTGAGCGAGCGCCAGGGCCAGCGGAGCCGGAGCCGCCGGGACATGGGTGAGCACGCGCGGCGACCTTGCCCCGGGAGTCCCCCGGTGCGCAGCCTCCCGCCGCGCCTCGGGCCCCCGCACGCCCGGGCCTGGGATGGTGTGTGCGTGTGTGTGTGTGTGTGTGTGTGTGTCTGTGTGAGTGTGCGTGTGTGTGCGCGCGCCCTGCATGCAAAAGTTCACGTCTCTTCTCCTCGCCGGGGCTTTGACTTTGCACCGGGCAGGAAGGGGGAGCCGGGGCAGAGGGGGCGGGATGCCGGTCCCGGTGAGGCTGCCGGGGAGGGGCGCGACGCCGGCCGGCCCGCGCGGGTGGGCAGCGATGCTGGCTCCATCCGAGTGGCCCGTTGGTGGCGGCGGCGGCGATGGTGGAAGCGTCGGGCTGGAGGGCTGGGAGCTTATTGAGTTTCGCCCAATCTGATCCCCCACCCCCACCCCGCCTCTGCACCCTCCCTCGGTCCTGCCGCCTGCTGTTGGGGCTGGCGTCGGTTGAGCGGACCCAGGAGGGGGAGGGGGTGTAGGAAAATAGGAAAAGGGGGTGAGAAGGCAGGAGGATGTTTTTTTCCTTCTTTCTTTCTTTTTAATTTCTCCCTCTCTTTGTAACTGGCAGGTTAAGTGGAGCTAGAGAGCTACATTGTAGCCTAGTTGGATTTGGTGGGGGGGCGGGAGGGATGTATCAGAATCTAATGTGTCGGTAATAGAAAGAAGATCAGGCGAGAAGTGGTCCAGCCGGCGAAGGTTGGTGTGTGCTTGTGTCGTGGTTGTCTGTTAGTGTTTCTCTCGGAAACCTTAATCAATGGATTTGAGTCTCTTTCTTGTGCCTCTCTGGTTTGGGGACTCTGAAAAGACAGGAATTCCCTTAAAAGCCGACGAATGCCCTTTTGAAAGCACGCATTGTGTGCCATGGGCTTGGGAATTAAAGGGCAGGCTTCCCCGTTCGGTGGTTTCCAGGGGGAAATCACTCCGGCAAGGGAGCCCTTCAGTATCGATTTATTGTTTTTGTCTTTTCAAACCATTATCTCTTTGACCAAGATACTGTCTGAGAAGTTCCACCGAGACGAAGTCAGGGAAACTGGAGCGAGCAGATCTTTAACAAGATGGTGATAACGGTGATGCTGCTTTGGGTGTCTGTTTGTGATGGAAGCATTGTTGGGTAATTGCAAATTCTGATCGGTAGAGCATGCTGCTTCTAAAAAAATAAGTTAGTGCCGAAATGCTGTCTGCCAGCCCCCTCCCCTGCTCACTACCCGCTCCCCTCCTCCCCCGCCCACACCGCTTACTACAATTCTGAAATCGGATCCAACTGGAAATATTTTCATTGGAGATCGGAAAGTTGTGCCATTGGAAGTGGGAGATGAAGCTGGAGGAGCCCCTCCTGCCTCTCCGGGCTACATTTTGTTCTTTCAGTGTGTGTATGTGCGATTCTCCGAGTGTGTATCAGTTTGAAAGGACTATTGAGGGAAGGATTTCCGATTCGTTTCCGTTTCAAATAAACTGTCCTGATAATCTCACGGTTGAGGTCTAACGCTAACAGGGAGATTTGTGTGTCTCTTTATGCCTGCACAAACTCTCTGCCACCAGGAGCTGTGCCTCCTGGGATCCTACAAGCAGCTACTTTGGCTTCCTGGCTGCGCCCCAGGCTCCCTGCAACTTGCCACACCTTCTCCCCCATCCCCAAAGTTCGGCTGCAGCGGGGGTCTCTAAGGAAATGCAAATATTCCTTGTTTTACATTCTTTCTCCTTTTTCATCCCTTTGCCCCCTTTCTGGTTTGTGTTCCTTTCCTGTAGGTTTGTCCTGAAAGCTGATTTCATGGAGTAGCTATCAACAAAATCCCCTGAGAGTCTGGGCCCGTGGCTCAGCCCCCTATGGTTCAGACCCAGACTCATCCTCATTAGCAAGAGGGGTTTGTGTGTGATGGGGCAGGGAACAGAGATGAGGGGCTTGGAGAGGAAGGGGGGGGTCTGTAGCAGTCATATCTGCAACTTGGAGCATACCTGGGTGCCCAAGAGTGCTTCCCAGGCACACCCCTGTTGGATAGTTTTGGGGTATACTGGGATGAGAAGGTGGAGCCAGCTGGCCCCAGGCTTGGGGAGGAGAAAGTTTGTAGCACTTGAGAATGTAGCCAGTTTAGGATCCCAGTCATTGCCACTTCTTTCTCCCAATGTCTGGGACTCACATCCCCCTGAATGGCCCAGAGCTGGGTTGGAAGGGATGATTTTTTTTTTTTTTTTTTTGCTCTGGGCTGGGATTCCCAGGTTTTGGAGCAAAGTTGAAGGTGCTGTGCTTAAGTGTATTGCCAGTCACCAGAAAAGGGTGAGAGGAGAGCTGGGGCAGGGCAGAGAGGAAGATAGCAAGTACTGTTGAAGACAGAGTATTTGCAAACTATAGGGCATGTAGTGTCAGGGGATAGGGAAACTTGGTACTGCTGATCAGCACCTGACCCCCCCTTACCCACTAAGGCACAAAAAAGTTTTGGTTTTGGACATTTGAGTTGATGTTAGAGCTGGGCAGTGGGAGTTCCTCGCCACTGTAGCAGCCTGAGCGGAGCAGGAGAGGAGATGGTGAGCTAAGGCTATCTCCAGCCAGAGGACGGAAGCAGACTGGGCTGTCTGAGCTGAAGGTGTCCCTGGAATAAACAAACCGGAGGTGGGGGAAGGGAGGGCTAGTGGTCCACGTAAAAGGCAGCAATGTCGGTAGGCCAGGAAGGGGGCCACTTCTGGCTTGGGAGAAAATATCTACTGCCTTATATGTGCATGAATGGGCCAGGCAAGTGAAGGGTTGTAATCTGATCTTTTGTATGCTAGCATCAGAATGTTGCATTGGAAGACTGTGCCAGGAGGCTGGGTTGCAGGCTTCCCAGAGGGGAATCCTGGATGTGCCCTGCTAGAAGTGAACATCTCCTGGTGCTGCAAGGCTCCTGGTCATGTATTTGCTTTACTCAGGACATGGTACACTGCTCCGGGTCTTTGCACTTTAACTGAAATGGATCGGTGGGGTGGAATTGGCAGGAGGCAGGATCTGGCCGAAAAGGAAATGCAGAGATGTGGAGGTGCTTGCCTCTGATGCCTTGTTCTGTTTCTGCAGTTATCTCCACACTGAATTCCATTAAGGGCATGTTCGAGACTTCCCTAGCACAAAACACACCAATAAGAAAAGGGAGTCCTCACAATGTGGTCATTATTTTTAGTTGTTATTCAGTCTCTGCTCTGATACTTCCATATAATATGCAAAAGAACGGAGAAAAAAAACCCAGCCAGCTTGGTGGGACATCCTTTCTGGGTTCCTGGAGACACTGAAACTTGGCTGGGCCTTGGTTCCCAGAATGCCAACTTTTCCCTCGGAGACTTGAAGTTTTAATTGAAACCAGAAAGCTATTGAAGGCAGACACAGCCAATGAAATCCTGTTTTCCCTGATGCACGGGAATTATATATATAAGATATATATATATATAACTTATTTATTTTGCTTGTTTATTTTTTGCTGATGGCTTTCAAGTTGTTTCACTTTGGTTCCTGCCAGAATGGGATACATGACTACCAGCACATTCACATTAATCAGACTTGCCAAGCATTAGAACAGTGGTGGTGTTTCAGAGTTTGTCTAGGAGAGTTTATGTAGGGGAGAGTCTGGTCCAGGGGTGGAGGTCAGAGGATGAGAGGGCAGCTTCTGTTCCTGAAGATTAGGCAGCTCTGGGTTCAAGGCAACAATCCTCTTGGAGTTCCTGCCGCCCATCATTTTGCCTGGTCTCTAGAGTCCTGTGTAGAAGAGACTCAAACAGTCTGTTGCTGCCCTATGGCATATTCTGAAATGTGGTGAGTCTCACCATTTTTTTCCCTGCTAGGATTGAGTCAGCAGTGCTGTCATCATCCACACTAGCATCAGGTTGGGCTGCTTTCACAGCTGTTTCTAAAGGCAACCTTGATGTTTCACAAGCTGTTTGTGTGAGGTTACAGACACCTGGGTAGCCGAGCAGTTAGTTGATAACTGCAGAAAAGTAAACGCCAATATGCCTGCAGTGTGGACTTCATGGATGCAAAGGATGATGCAACCCTTCATTTTTGCTTGGCTCTGAATGTCCCTTTCGATGTGGCATTCTACCTGATGTTGATACTCCCCTGACAGACTTTGAGGGCCATGACCTTAGATGACTGACTCTAACTTAACCATCCTTAGAGCACTCACCTGGAAATTCTGTGGCTCTGAGCAGCTTTGCTTTCATACTCTAAGGCTGAGATTTGCTAATACACTTTCCCTTAGGAACCAGCAGTTGACTTCTCATCCTGTTCAGGGGAAATGATACCAAGGTCAAACAAAAATGGAGGTAGCATTGAAGTGCACAAGCTCCCTTGGTAAGGAGGCTGGCTTTCCCTGTCTAGGAGCTGCTGCTGGGTTATGATTAGCAGATTCATGTGAGAAAAATGAAGGGCAAAGTCAGCTGACCTGGTCCTTGGGCAGCAGGGTCTTGCCTTGCCTTGTGCTGAAAAGGGATAGGAGCTGAATGGTGAGCATATAAGAGTTAAACAACTCAGCTTGGAAAATCTTTCCCTTGTTCAATTTATCTTTTGCCACCTCAAATTGCTGCCTTTCATATATGAAGTATTTTTTTAAAAACATCTTTGCAGTATATCCACTCCCCCTGATTATCCTAAGGAAGAATCCCCGGTGAGCATCTCAGCCCCTTTCAGAAGATGAGACGGTGGGTACACGGAGTTGTTTGCAAGGACAGAGTTGCTAGATCAACGAGGGCCAGGCAGCTTCAGCAAAGTACGAAGCACACACATTTGAAATGACAAGGTCTGTCTTGGATATTTTCTTCACTCCTTCCCAAGTTAAATGACTCCAGTAAGTTATTCAGCCTTCCTGAACTTCAGCAGCCTCATCAGTAAGACAGGGGTAAGGGTGTTTACCCCGCCTGCTTCACAGGGGTTGGCGGAATGATAGGAGTATAGTCCGTTTCTGTGGGAAGAATCTCATTCTGCCTGTTGGAAACTAACATGCAGACTCTTGGAAT